ACATACAACAGCACTGTACGAATCAGGAAATGGCTCTTTCAGGCCTCCTTACAAAAGGAAGTGAGTCTGAAGCTTGCTAGATTTACAGAGAGGATGTTCATGAACTCAATCTAGGGCAGGAGATGGGGGAAAAATCCCTTTTCTTCCACTGTGGGTTGACACACTAACTGCACGTTTCTGTAAACCATTTTTAATAACAAAAAAAAGTAAGTAAAGGGGCTAGAACTGTGGTGGTGAGGGCTTCCTCCACAGCTGCCTGCCTACAGCCCATAGCTGGTGCATGTGTACATCCACGGAGACTCTTGTGGCTTCATGCTTCAACGCCCCTGCCATTGCTGGGAAAATCAGAGCTTTTCTCCGCCCCTCAGGTAAAGCTGTGGGGTGTCACGGAGAGAGCATCACTGCCCACCTCTGTTCAAGGAGTCCTTCCTTCCTCCTCTGCCTCTCGAGCCAGCTGCCCACGGAGTTGGGGCACAGGGGGCTCACAGGGCATCTCAGCGCTCCTGGCCAAGTGCTGGATGTGGCTCAATTTCAGTTCAAAGAAACAGATTACTCCTTCAAAGGCACGGGTGCTACGCCCTGGAGTTGAGTGAAGGTACTTCAGGTTAAGACTTGGGAGGTGCAGATGCAGTGGGACACATTAGATTTTGAAAGATTTCAGTACAGGACGTGGTATGGTTCTGTAGTCTTCACACCACAGTGGCCAAAGAAAGAAGAAACAAGGCTCTTCTCTTGAGGTTACTCTTATATGCAGGTATGCCGTTGCTGATCTCACTACTACCTTAAAAAGCAGGCTGAGCCAGCCCCTGAGGCAAGACGCCCTCACAGGCAGCCCTCCAGCGCTCCTCTGCACAGCGGCCTCAGGGCTGCTGGCCATCTTCATGGGGTAGAAGGACTGATGAAGCCCAGTGCTGAAGGTCAGCAGCAACAGCTGCCCTGACACAGCCTCTGCTCTCTGCCAAAAAGTGTGCAGCGAGTGATCCATCCTGTTACTTCATGGGGCTGTCTTAGGAACTTCAAGGCAGTAGATCTGGACACTCAGACTCCACCTAGCTTTAGTCTCTATCAAATTAAATTATCGAGTCTTGTGCAGGTTTATATTCACACTGTAAACAAAAAGAGAAGTTTCCTGACTAAGCTCTCCCATTGCCGCACTGCTGTTTGCATGGTGGGCACAAAGACTGTGGGATCGTGAGTCTGAGCACAGCTCAGGCTGCTGCATGGCTATTCCCGGGCACACAGCTGCGATGCACCCGAGATCCATCTTCCTCTCTATGGAAGTTCCAGTAAAGCTTACCAATAACAAGATCATGCCTCAGTAACTGGGCTTGTTGATGGAGCATCACATCCAGCTTACCTGCCACACATGACTGACTGGCTTTGCATGTTAGTTGGTAAATTTAGATCTCTACATGCACTCAAAAATAAAAAGGCCAGGAGTCAAGAGAGCCTGACAGCTCAGTCTGGTGCAGGCTTTGTAGCTCTGTTTCCCATGAAGAAAGGTATTTTTAGGGGAAGAAGACTGGTAACCAGCTATGAGACATTCTGAGCCCACTTTTGACTTCTCCAGCTTTTAAAACCAATGCAATGGCTTCCAGTAACACCAGCTTGAAAACATGGCTGTGAGAGCAGCACTCTGGTGAACTCCAGGAACTTCAAAGCCAAGGTGAAAGTCTAGATCAGACTTTGGTCTTTAACCAGAGATGGCCAGTAGTGAACTTCACTGACACGAAACTGGAGAAAACAACACAATTGCATCAATATACCAACGTTGCTTCTACAGAGACCTTGAGAAAGCTGTCAGCTCCAGTCAATTTAAGAACCACACAGTCAAAAAATACCAGGATCAGCTAATGGTCCAGACTCAAGAGGTCAGCGATTGTCACACAGTTAGAAACATTTTTTTTTTCTGCTAAGACATCATCTGCTTTGTAGTTAAGATATTATTATCAAAAGATTTGCCTTGTAAACAGGAAGCTTTTGTACCTGTCAAAACCCTCTGCAGTGGGGTTGACTGAGGCAGCTGCCAGGCCAGCCAGGTGCAACAGCCGACCCTGCTTTGAGATGCTACATCCAGGAAGGCCCAGTGGGAAGTTATGCTGGCCTCCCCAGCGTGCCTGAGGAGCCAAAACTCTCCTTGTCAGTAGCAGTTTGTTACGATAAAACCGGCTTTACGAGGAGCCTGGAGATTTATGGGAAGGTACAGAAATGACCTTTGGAAAACAAAAAAAGGGAAAAAGAAACACTCGCAGCAGGAGCTCCTCTGTGTTCCGAACCAAATGTGCTCACAGTGAGACTCTTCTGCCAGGGCTAACCAACAGAACAGCAGCAAGCCCCTGGAACTCCCAGAGCATTCTCTCTAGGTCTAAAATACAATTCCCTCCCTATCAGTCTTGCTCTTTACTGCACTGTAGTTACAGCTCTCTTCAGAGGTGACAGATGCAACGAAGAACGCCCCAAAACGTTTCATTACAACCTCTGCTAACAGGTCTGTGTCTGGGGCCTTCTACAGTTAGAGCACTGAGTCTAACCCAGATTTTTGCAATAAACGCTTGTGGCAAAATACTGTGCTTTTGTTCAGGGCTGCAAGACTATCCACCTGGGCTAAGAGGATTATTCCAGGTTGGTGATGCTCTTTCTAGCAAAAGCAGCGTCTACGCTGTCCACTTTTATGCAGACAACTAACACACCACCTACAGGAACTGCCATCCCAGCACTCAGGCTGAACAGGCCACCTGATCATCTCCAGTTCTATGATTTTCACATGCTGCAGAGATTAAAGACGGTGTTTTTGAGAGAGAGCACGGTAACTTGGCCCCAACGTATTTGCTAACAGCCACTATGGCCGAGGACCCTGAGATGAGAACACTATTTCCTCAGTTGCACAGACCCCAGCTACCAAGCTGAAAGGCTTCAAATGGAAGGATGGCCAACCTGTTGATGTGAAATTTGAGCAGGGAATACACTGTTTTTAGCTTATGCTGTAATACCCACAGGCAAAGCCTGGCAAAAGATAACACGTGCATGCACAGATTAGTTCTGTGCATCTGTGTCAGTGTACAGATGTACACATATGTATGAGTCGTGGGCAACTGCTCTCCTGTTCCTCATTAGGAAGGTCAGTGCCAAGTGAACTGAATGTTTGCAATCTCTTGCACTTTTACCAGCATTAAACTTTTTTTTTTTAATTTATTTCCTGTACTTGTAAAAAACAGAAGACATAAGGAAAGGATTTCAGTTAGGGCTCTCTTGCTCACATTTTGGAACCGTCTCCTCATCATGTGCACATGCAGGTGCTCTGAGGCAGCCATTTCCTGCTAGATAAAAGCATTCTGTTTACATGTCTATCATTTGGGACGTTTTTAAACAGCAGTGTAAATATGCAGTATGAAGACATGATCAAGTCAAAAGCACTTAAGTCAACTGATAACTTATTTAACCCAGGATTTTTTAAACATACACACACATATATATATATATGCAAAAAAATAAAGAGTAAAGCTTGTTGTGTTTGAATGAGGACTGGCTAATGAAACAGACTGGACATAAAGTTTCACTTTGCTCTCACAGGCAGTAAAAAGAAATAGAACAGCTAAAAACAGCATCGAAAAGGAGAATGGGGAATCTTGGTGGAGTCTGGGGGTGAAGATACCTGAATTATCAAGTAATTATGTTCTTAAATGCCAATATGGCACATGCCAAATATTAAAAAAAAAAATACAGGCATCTAAATCTGTATTCCTAACCCAATGGTAATAATTTCCTCTAGGATATGAGAATGCAGAAGTGAAGGACTATCTTCAAGGGAAGAAACAAATCTATGCTTGTATTGCAAGAGTGGTGTAACAGAGCAGTGACAGCTGACCAACATTTCCCAATTTTCCTTTCCACTATTGACAAAAACCAGTACTTTGATCCTCCCAAGCCCGTCTGAACTATGTTGGCAAATTTTAAAGTAAAACCAAAACACACACATCCAGCAAAGCCCGCATAAGAACTCTGCTCTTTTGTTACATCAACATCCATCTTTACCAGCCTACAACAATCATAGGAACAAGCACTGAACACGTTGGGAGATACTGTTTTCCCGCCTGAGGCAACCACATGCCTTATGTCTCTATTAAAAAAAGAGCTGGCCTGTTTTATAATGCCCATGCAGACTGGTATTTGCACTGCCAAGGTCTGTTTGTTTTTCTCTAAAAGTCTGTGGAATACACTCAGCCAGAATACCTAACCAAGTAATAACAAAGACATTTAAAAGCATTTGGAATACTATTTACTTTGTATTTGCTTCCCTATTCTTTGTAGAAAGTTATCATAACATACACACATTTAATTCCATCATTCCCCCAGTCCTCATGTTCACCGATTAACTTAGGAACACTTAAGGCTCACCAGTAGAGCCTGAAATGCTCTGAGCCGCTTGGATTACAGTAACTTGTGAAGCATCATGTCCCAAAAGAGACACTCATGGAAATGGCAACAAATGATGAAAGGGTTATAATTGTGCAAAGATTTCAAAATGCTGGAAATCCTTTTGTATTTCCTTTCGCTTCACTTTTTCCTCCCCTCCCCTAGCTGGGAATAAGGAAACAAGCCAAGTTATTCTATAGCTGGTTCCCACCACTGTAAAGTTCTGGTTCCCATTGAGCTGTGCATTCAAGCAAAAACAAGAACAAACATTAACAGCTCCATTCCCATCCATCTACTAGACAGGAACTCACAGATGCTTCATTATATACCTCCTGCTGGCACTGATGAGGCAGAAGATTTGTATAGAAAGGAGGGGGAGACTCAGACAAAACACAAGAGACATTGTAATTGTTCTCGTTCGTAATTCTATTAGCTAACATTAGCCAAAACATCATGCTGCTTGGAGCTTTTCCTCACTGCTAAAAATACAGGCATTGTCAACAGCACCTCGAGAACCTTTCATGGACTGTGCAAATGTCACATACGTGAGTTTAAAGAAGACAGGATGAGGGAAAAAAACAGGACCATTTCGTGTAACTGGATTTTTATTTTATATATAAATAATAACAAGAAACTGAGGATTTTTGAGACTTGCTACCTGCAGTGCTGAACCTGCAATGGGACAAGCACGGGCAGACTTGAGTCCCACTGCAGAACTGAAGACAAGATCTCAAGACTGACCCAAAATACATAGTGTCCTTTCACCGATTCCATACCAGCAGCCCAAGCAGCACACTGTCAGTCTTTCCTGAGGCAGAAGGCAGATTAGTCACATTCAAAATCAAAATGGATTCAGATGGTTTTCCTCTTTTTCTTGGGAAATTGTTGCTTGTATCTGTATTTTTTGTTCACCTATAACCAAGGAAAGGGGACAGAAGGTAAGTGGGAGAGGGAGGTAGGGAAGGAGGGGGAAAGCAGAATTAAATATCATAGACCTTCTCTTTCCTCAAATAAAATTTTATCAACTTGCCACAAAGAAAATTCTTATTACCAATTTACTTCTAGTAAAAAGATTTAACTCTTTGTATTACTGACATTACGGCACTAATGATTATGTTTGCTCTAGAAAATTCAATTCCTATAGTTGAACTGTATAGAAATATAAAAGAGAAAGAACATTTCAGAACAACAAAACACCAACTGAAATCTTGTGCAAAAAAGCTACTTTCTCAAATAGAATTCTTTTTAATTATTTTTTCCTAATCTCACTTATTCTGCTGTAGATCTAGGGTAATTTAACTCAAAGAAATGGAATTACATAAATACAGAACCTGAACAGAGTGAAAATGAGATATGCTGTCTTCATGGAAAAACACAAAGCCGTGTCACTTCCGTGCGACTTTCAGCACAACAGCTGGATAAAATTAAAGCTTGCTTCCCCAAGATGGGATGTGGTTTGAGTTGCAGTTTGCATACAATTATTGATGACAAACACACTATAATAAAAGAGGTGCAATACTGCTGTTTTTTGGAATGGAGAAATATGTTACTCCCTCCAACCTGAGGTGATTTTGTCCTTGGCTGATCATTCACAATTCAGAGACCCATGCTGTGGCAAATCTTTATGAGGAAAATGAGGTTGTATTTATTTTAGTAACCAGATTCAACCAGGAATACTGCCAACAGTTGAAAATACAGTGAGACTTTCAGGACTGACCTCATTCAGAATAAACAAATATGGCTTTTCAAAGATCACAGCAGTGTTCTCCAACCTTTGGGATCACTCAAATCCAACAAAACATCTGGACTTGGGTATGGAGTTAAATAACTGGATTGGATTTCAAGCAGAAGTAACAAATTGCCACCCCTGCAGAACAGCTGAAAATTCATACTGAATTTAACTTTCACCATCTGGTTGCTCTAGGTCAACAAATCTAGCAGTTCCATTTATGTATCTCCTCTAGAAACACGTGTCAAAACAAGTAGCAGCACCCAGGTACTTTAAGCACCTCAGAAGGTACCTTAACTCTTCAAAAAGAAAAACAGTAGAATATCTGAGACAGCAGCTGTTAGTGAGGTTTTCCTCAAAACTTGCTTACATAGCATGAGTATATTTATAATTAAAACCCTGAGGACAAAGGATCTGGATACCAGCGTTAGTATAAGCCTTCCTGACAGCTTTGTTCCCTTCCTTTCACCCACCCCTCCTTAAAGAGAAAACGTGCCTTAAGCAAAAAAGCACTATCACTTAAAAAGTGAATAATGACCTACCAGAAATTATATTTACATAGTAAAAAAAGCTAAAAGAAAATAAAAGCTATTTACAGGTTTCTGTTTGTAATGAACCTTGATATTTGTGTACAGTGTCCCACATATATAAACAAAAGTTCAATTTTTCTGTCTTTTTATCATTTAGTAGCTCTGTCCTAGTTCACAATAAGGAGAATTTTTTAGTGACTTTTAGAGAAGCTTTTAGAATTATAGAATGGTTTGAGTTGGAAGGGACCTTAAAGATCATCTAGTTCCAACCCCCTGCCATCAGCAGGGACACCTTCCACTAGACCAGGTTGCTCAAAGCCTCATCCAGCCTGGCCTTGAACACTTCCAGGGAGGGGGCATCCACAACTTCTCTGGGCAACCTCTGCCAGTGTCTCACCACCCTCGCAGTGAAGAACTTCTTCCTAATATCTAATCTAAACCTCCCCTCTTTCAGCTTAAACCCATTTCCCCTTGTTTTGTCATTAGTTGTCCTTATGAAAAGTCCCTCCCCAGCTTTCTTGTAGGCCCCCTTCAGGTACTGGGAGGCAGCTATAAGATCTCCCCAGAGCCTTCTCTTTTCCAGGCTGAACAGCCCCAACTCTTTCAGCCTGTTTTTTCTTCCTCTTGGTTCTCCTGAATATCTTTACTCAAAATAAAACTGTTCTTCCTCTTTTTTTTAATTTTTTATTTTATATGGCTATTTTATAAAATACTTGGAAAACATGTATTCTTAAATACTTCATACTGCAGAAGGAAAAACTAATGTACTCAGTAAATCAGCCAGCCAACATACCCTTTTGCCCCTGAGAGAATTAGCTACAGCAATTAAAAATACACTAAGGGAAACACAACATTAGAAATTAGTTTTGCTTTTAAAGCTGACCATAGAGCAGTGGAACGCTGTTGCTCAGCAGATGTGTGCGTTCTATCACATCTGCAAACATTTGTGACTGGTGATGATGCCTGGAAGAAAAAATGTGTGCAGTTTTCTAAATCCAGACTCTATTTACACAGTTGGCAGTTTGGCAAAGAAAGAACTTTACCTGATAAATGGAACACTGCACACAAAAATAACGAGGAGTCTCTACAGTGCTAGCATTACTTTCTGATGAAAAATAAGTTTAACATAATATGAAAATAATATAGGGCAAAGACAAGCAAGTAGCAAACAGTTCAGAAAAGATAACCTTTACCAACTGATAGCAGAGTAGATATTATCTGATTTTGTACTAAATTCTGTCCAATTACATTATCATTAGTAATAATAAGTCCCAAACACAGAGCCATTTTTGTCCTATGAAACGGAACCATCTTTAAGAGGCTGAGAAGGTGTTTTTGTTTTGCTTTTCTAGAAACTGTAACAATCATGGGACTTGCTGGAGTTTAGAAAGCAGCCCAGTGGCCAAGTCAGAAACAAAACTGGCGTCTCAACTCGAGTTTCTGGCTCGGAGAACTGGGAAAAGCTGCCTCTATTTCCTCCATCATTCATTCCCAGCTGATGAAGCACGTCTCATCAGGGAGGTGCATCAACACAAAAGGTCAGGCACACTGTGGACTGTTACAGGCTGTAAGATAACGTTGTACCCTGGCACTGACAAATCTTCAGAGAAAATGTATCAGTAGGAAAGAGGTTTCTTTCCCCTCTTTCATCCCCGCATGGGTGTGACAAAGGCAGCAAAGAGGTTTTTGATACACGGGGCAGAAATGGGAAGGAGAGAAGGAAAAAAAACCCAATACATTAATGATGCCTTGCTAAATTTACTCAGAACCCTTGGAGGAGACATATATTTACTTGTTACGTTCTAAAGATGAAGAATTTAGGTAAGTTAAATAGTGTTAAGGAGCACACATATTCTTGAGAAACGTTAAGATTAATAAAGTTATTACATCTCCTCCCCTCTTTCTTCATCAATACGAAGAAAATAACTACAAGCAAATGTTCAGCTTTTCCAGGTTACTTTGCTGCTGTAGTCACAGACTGTTATCAGTTTTACCTGTTCGATGCCAAGTGATCTGATGTTCTACTACTTCTGTGCTTGCTCTTCATTTGAAGCAGCATGGATTTCCAGGGGCTTGTCACCATCTGTATCACCCTTGAGGAGGGAAAAATATGCACAAAGTTTCAACTGAGATAATGCATGATTAATGTTTTTGCTAAAACAGAAACCCTCTTCAAAACCTGAAACAAAAACTTCTCGCAAAATCAAGTGGTTGATGAGACTAATTCAGTATAATATACTCAAATATGATCTTCTCCCAAACGTTTTCTAGATTTCAGTCTTCCTGTAGTTAGCTGCACAATTAAGGGATTTGAAAGAACAAGTAGTTCAACAGAAATGTTTTAATTGACTCATTTTGCCTGCACTAATAACAGAGGATGAATTCCCACAGAGTAGTTGCTATTTTGCATTCTCTGAATTCTGTGTGGATTTACACAATAGGTCTCTCTTAGTACGTATCCTTTGAGAGCGTTCTCACACTTTCCCTGAAATAAATGATAGAAATCAAAGAATGAAGAGAGGCTTGTTAAAGCATCTGGTCTATCTATTTGCCAAGTGTGCTATAATGAACAGGCACTTGATTATAGTTTTAACTAGATATCAATTTAGGAAATACTTAAAGGGCCACACACATGGCTAGGGGACTGAAGCACGTGACCTACAAGGACAGGCTGAGAGATGTGGGTCTGCTCAGCCCAGAGGAGACCAGACAAAGGGGGAACCTAATTGCTATCCACAGTTCCTTAATGGGCATTTACACATTTGGAAGAGCTAGGTTCTTCTCAGAGGTTTGCACCAAAAGGACATGGAGCAAAGGACACAGGAGTACGGCAAAATTCTATTAGATCTAAGGAAGGAAAAAAAAAAAAGTGTATCACACCACTGACCAAGCACAAGAGCAGATTTTCCAGAGAGCTTTTTCAATTTACATCTTTGAAAATATTCTGCACTTGACTGCACAAGGCCTGAGCCACCAAATCCAACTTCAAAGCTGTCTCTGCTTTGAAGAGGGTGTTGGATGAAATGATCAGAGGTCACACCCAGTCTGAATTATTCTTAAATTCTACCTATGAAAATTAAATGGCATTTTCTTTTTATTCTAAAAAGATACTTTTACCAATATGATTTCAATGTGATTGAAAAATGTACCAAAATAAGGCAAAAGAGACTGGGAAACAGAAACATGTCACAGGATGGGTCAAATTTATGTCCCAGCACAAATTTACTACTATGAATAAGATACTGAGTCTATGAGAGACTGCATATGCTGTACTGGAGATATGGACTCAATACATCAAGATTCAATTATGAAGATAATTCTTGAATTCCTTACACAAAGTATGTCTAGCAAGACCCTTAAAAGGTAATTCTTTCTTTCAAAAATCCATTTTGTTTTGATCTCTACCCTGGATATTTCACAGTATAGGAAATCACATCCACAAACCACACCCATTTCAAAATAATGATCTACTCCATAATTTTCCTGCACAGGAACTTGTAAGTTACGACATTTTACTACAATTTATAATGAATAATCTGACTCACGATGCCTCATCTCAGGGATTACTCAGTCGTGAACAAAGGAACTAAAAATAAGTTGTTCGCAGAGAGTTCTATGTTTTCTCACTTGCTTGTTTTAACTTTTAAAAAGCAAATACCATCTAGATAAGCTTTATTTTTTTATATTTCCTGAAAGAGGAAAAAAACCCAAAGCAACACACACACACAAATGTACAGGAAAACAGGGGTCTTGCTCAGTTCCTCTGTTTCTGTGAGCTAGTAGATCTCATCACACAGCTTATCTTCACTACATCTATTAAGCTGGAATTATTTAATTTGAGCCAATCTACTGCTAAACTGTGGATTGGCTAAACTCACACAAACTCATTTGCTGAATTAGCAATTAAGAAGTTCTTTTAGCTCCATCCACTGTACGTGCCCACTATGCAAACAGTGAGACTGATCAAGCAGCAATATGCGTAGCCAGGAAGGGAGCCGCTCCTGTCCTTTGAGCTGGCACAGGAAATAAACACACCTAATTTTACAACACAGTGTCAAAGCCCTCTGGTCACACTCAAAACCAGATCAGAAGCAAAAAATGTGTTTAAATCAGTGACCCAGAAGACAGACCTCCTCTGGGCCATGATGCCCTTCGTAATTAGAAGTAGGCACACATTCAAGACGGTCTTTCTACTTTCTGGCCTAACACAACCATTCCATAACGTATCTGGGTGGCCAGAGGAGTTCACGCATCAGCGCTCCGTCCCACAGCAGAAGGGGAAATATTTTGCAGCATTTTCACATGTCTGACAGTTTCAACTGAAAGGTGACTGATAAAAAAATTCCGTAACACATTCATTAGTAAAGTGTTCAAAGAATTGGTATTCCATGGGATTAAAAAAAAAAAAAAAGCTATCATTATTCAAAATTGAAAATAATATCGAAACTAAGGTGACTGTACATAATGTTTACATGAGTGACTAAAAGACACTCCAACTCAGCTCACAGTACCTAACAGAGATACATTGAGACCCAAATTTTAGATGACAAACTTAAAAAACAAATGCAGTGATTTCTGGGAGCATTTTCCTTCCGTACAGAGAAAAATGCCCAAAAGCAACCCAGCCTAATGTCAAAAAAACAAGCGTGGGGGTGGCTTCTTCCTCACATTACAACCTCGCCTGATGCAGGAGTTACTTTCTGTTGCTCTGAGAAAGTTCTGCAGATGGCCAGACCCTTTTGCACTTATAAACAGCTCCCAAGGTAGGCACACATCTCTCTCATGCTTATGGAAAACTCTTGAAAGGTAGAGTCTGACCACCAGAAAAAAACAGCAGCTGCAAAAGAAAAACAAAGGCTCACCTGGGCTAACAGATTAATAATTTACCTTTTCTTCTGTCCTCTTCTGTTTGCAATGTATTGCTTGGAATAAAGAGAACGTCACTGGTTTACCTCATTCATCCTCCCCCAGTCAATCAATAACTCACTCTCCTTCTTTTGTTTTTATCTGAGCTTGAACTTAACTCTCTCAGAGATATGAAGCACTTTAAAAAATATTACTCTAAGTTGCCCTAAAGGGCACCAACTTTTTGCAGAGTAGATTCTGTCTTTCCCACCTCTAACACATTTAAATTCACCACTGCCTGTACTAAGGCTCCAGTCCAAAAGAATAATATTTATAAGTTTTACTCTGTTGTTGTTCTTACTACCAAACAGTAAAAGGAAGCATACAACAGTGAACAGTATTTTCTGTCAGAAGTAGATGTTTATCTGTTAGTTCAGATGACCAACCTTTTGCTTGTCTGTTCAGAAGCTACCAAAGACAAGTCTTAGAAGCATTGTTGTAGAAAGAAGCTCTCCCAGCTGCTTATGTTGTGTTATAAAGGATGCTTAAAACACAAGTGACTTAAGAACTCTCCACTTAAAGTACAGTTGAAGGTTTGCTACTGTCACAGTCCCTGATGCTGACAGTAAAGCTCCCCAGGTAACAGGCTGACATCACAACTTCCACAGCTTTTGGATGAAGAAAGTTTGGGTCCACAATTTCCTTGATGCTTGTTCTGAGTAAGTGCAGGAAACAAGTAACCAAAGCTGAGCAGACTCTGCACTTGGAAGTACTCTGTCACCAGCCAGCACTTAATAAAATACACAGAGATAGCCATATAGACACGTTTTAAATATTGATATATTTTTATATGTGCAATAAAAATGTATCTGTATGTTTAAAAAATAAATATATATATATGTTATACATTAGTATTGGTAAGTCACGGATGGTGTCCATCAACAGACCAGGCAGGGATGAAAACCAAGCAACAAGAAAATTGTGGTTTTTTACGTGTTTCAGTACTTATTAGCTCACTGGCTGGAACAAAACCTGGGTTTAAGTGACTTGGTGCCGTAACACACGCCCTTGTCACTTGAAGATGAAGTCATTATAGTAGGAGAACTAACAACCCTACAGCACAATACAACAGTACAAATTATGGAAGTACTGAAACCAGAGGCAGAAGAGGAAGGGCAAAAAGGCTGCACTTTATGAAAATAAACATCAAATGAGCTAACTGACAAACAGGACCTGATTGTCAGAAACTTACAGGCAGCATGTATTGAACTGTGGCTCTGCAACACTCATCTTTAAACAGTTTTCTGTAAAGAAGTTATAATCCTTCGTGTAGAAAACCACAGTCCTTAAGTTTATGCTGCTGCACAAAATACTCAAGCTGCTACAGGTTGTCCATCCCTCTGACCTAAGGACAGGTATTAAAGCTGGTAAACTCAGCCAGCATTGAACAGAGATCGCTGTGGGGGGAAAAAAAATTAAAAAGAAAAAAAGAAGCTGCAACTCACTGGCTTACCAGTTCAGCCAGTTCAACACTTCTGTAGAAACTGGAAGGCAAAAAAAGAGTAGAAGAAAAGAAATGTAGAAAAAGATGATCTTGCATGAACTATGGCACTACTGGGGAGAGCAGAGGGACCAGTTACTCACAAAGACTAGCTGAAGGTAAAGCAGAGTATTAGCCTTCATAATAGCAAAACTCCAGTAATGAAAGTCTGATTCCGCCTAAGGCTACTGAAAAGGGTTTCAAACACATCACTCTAAAAAAACAGCATAAAGGCATAAGTTGGTATGATTCTCCGTGAACTTTGCAAGCTAAGTTTATGATAAACAAGGTTTGAGGGACACATCTTACATTTCCATTACATCCCTGGACGCTTACAATCTGATAAGATAAATGTTAATACAAATTTCATTGATTTTTGTGGAATTACTTCTTGTGAGTAAAGTTCACTCAAGTAAGCAAAAGATTTTCAGAAGATAAAGCCCTTAAAATATTACCGATCCCCAAACAAGATATTGACATTTCTTCTACCATCTCCTCTACCTGGGGGAAGAAGTAGAAAAGTTGTCCACTCTACATCAAGACAAAGTATAAAGAAGCTGAATAACTATTTCTGCTGTCTCTTATTAGGAAAATGTTTCATCCTCCTGGAAATAAAAAATGTGAACACTGATCCTTCCTTATGGTACTTGCACAGTTTTAGCAGAGGGCTTTCACCCTGACATCCTGTAAGAGCTGGCTCCTTCAACAAGCCCGCTTCGGGATACCAGAATGCTGCACTGTAAACATCGTCTTCAAAACCTTATCACACAAACTTGCTCTATGGAGAGGCTCCAGCCACAGTGTTTTGAAACGTAGCAGCAGAAGGTCCTGGAATTCATCTTTCTCTGCAGAACTTAAGATTTCAGTTGATATGACTTCAGTTTGGCACAGGTTTTTGTTTCATAAAACCTTGAGAAAATTGACATACCACATCTATTTTAATGACATATTGCTCCACAAACATGAAGTCATGCACAGCTGTGGTACCTATGACTATCAAACAAATTATGAGCAACATAACAAATTAACACAAGCCAAGAAGAGCCACCCATATATTGCTTGACTATTTTCAAGAATCGTTTGTGTAGCAACAGGAAAATGCTAGAGTGAATGTCAGAAAAACAAAAAATAACATCTTTTGCTCTGGCAGGGTTTCATGCAATGGGTTACATCTGCTGTAACAACAACTCAGGAATAACATTTGCATTTGCCTTCACTAGTTAAGGAATCTAGCTGCCTAGTAGGACAATAAGAAATAAATATACAAAAACAACCCAATTCACAGGGCTGTCAAGTTGAGAAGAGTCCCAGAATGCTTTGCCAATTTTAGTACGTGATAGAAGTATTCATTTTCTTCCATGACACTTCTGTGGATACTGATTTGATGGATCTAATAATTTGTATGAAGAAAAGGTTTGTTTTTTGTTTTTTTTTGCATTAGTATAACCACACAGCTTTAGAGACAGACAGCAGAAGTTTTTCTAGGGTAGACTTCACCTCTCATATCTCATGTTAGGGACATACCAGTGCTTCTATGTATAAAAACAGGGAGAGGTTTTCATTATGAGCTGTGCCAGACCACGTCCTGATAGAACATCACAACACTATCTCAAAAAACCCTAAAACAATTAAACCAAAACAACAAGAAAAAACCCAAACCCACCTCTACCCCCTCAAATTCTCAACTATGTATTTTATACTGCTTCACCAGCACAGACCAAAGGAAGTTTCAGAGCCGACTTCTTCCATGAGAAATACTTTTCAGTCCACATTCCAGTGACTTCAAAAGCATGTGACTTTTTACAACTGCTGTTCAGCCTCTCTGGACACCCAGGAGACAATACCCTCTCTTTAACAACTTCAAAGGACAAAGAAACAATGAGGCTGTATACTCCAGTGGTAACAGATCACTGAACATCTGAAATGCAGGCAATCTCATCAAGTGCACAGTGCTTCTTCATTTGAGTCAACAGGATTTTTGTACCTTGCCTAACCCATGAAGTTAAATGGCAACATTTAAACATTAACAATATCTGATAAATCAGATTAACTTCAGGAGGAAACCATTCAATGGCATTTCACTCCCCTGTGCAAATAACATATTTTGGCAACTAAGGGGTGTGATTTAAAGATTCTGCAAGGAGGAAGAGAAAGAAGTGTGTTTACTTAGTGGTCTCTGCAATTTTGCATGTCGTTTGTTTTTCTGCTGAGGTAGCAAGTGCTTGAATAAGCCTTATAATAAGATGAAAGCTCCAAAAGTTTTTGCCTTTCAATAACAAGCACATGTTTCCTTTGAAAGCCTGGGACACAAAAAAATAAAAAGCTCAGCTAGTTTTTACTCATGCTCTCGGTTTGTCTTTCTGAAATATTTTAATGTTGCCTATTTTTTTGAGATACTTTTTGACACCCTAGGTTCTAGGAAAGGTACAGTACAAATAACTCCCCTTTGTTTATTCAAAGAGCTATACAAGTGCATTTCCTGAAGCGCCCAGGGCCAATACAGGATGAGTACCACTGATGAAAGTCTCCACTCTTGTAAGACTCGCCAACTGACAGCACACGTGAACGTTTCTCCAATCCAGCTTGTTTGGAACTAGTCCCACACCTAGACCCACACCTAGACCCACCTAGGGAACTCGGTCCCATACCTGCAGTCTCTTGAAGCACAATTACCTCTCCAGAGCATCTCTCTCTTAGTGGCTATCCCCCTTACATCTTAAGTTTCTGAGCTGAAAACACCATTATTCTGGTTGGATAGGACTTCTGGTTTACAACAACCCAGAAGCTACACACCATTGTCAACCCGGTACGGACTGTTGCCAGCCGTGAGCTATAGCTCAACCAGGAGGTCCACAGTACAAGACCAAGACTTTCTGCTGGTTCAAAGTTGTTTCCAAATCACCTGTTAGCTTTGCCAGGCTACATTAAGCAACTCAAATGAGAGATGGGAAGCAGCCTGCAGCTAGGGCAGCAGTTTATAACAACGGAACGAGCATAGCTGCTTAGAAATCAGGAATTAAAGCTGCAGTGAGTTTAGAAGTGAATTTAAAACCACAAAAGCTTTATGTTGCGCACCTGAACTTTTATTTCTTTAAGCAGCAGTTAAAAAAATTCCCTTAAAACCTTACAGGCTCTCCCTGGCACACATTTAATCAACTCGCACAGTTCTCCAGTCCCTTACACCCTGCTCCACTGAGCCATCTACATGTATTTCCTGGAAGTCAGTTTGCTTATCTGTATCCAAGAGGTACAACTACAAAGACAGCTTGCTCCTGTGGGGTAACAGAAATGTCTAGTAGATAAAAACCAAAACCATCAATAAGATACTTAACTCCAGAAGCTTCAGGCAGGTTATAAATTATGATTAAGACATCACATAATGTAATGATTCATTAAAACAAGTTCTAATTTTTTCACAAGTCAGTGCTCATCTTCAACTAATATCATTAATTAATCACAGTGCACTTATTTTGAAACTTGGTAGCATTTTGTAGAATGCAAAATACATTAGAATCAGCAAAATAGAATCTTATTTCTGATTTTTTTGGGGGAATATTTATGAATATTTGCTCTAACATAATGATATCACTGTACATTGCTCTACTGGACATTCCCATCCAGTCACAACATCTAGCAATCTGTAGAAGCAAACAACTACAGACACACAAAACTGAAATCCTACAATTTCACTACAGTTGTGTATTATGTTTGACCAACTTTACAGACAAAGTTTAAGTACTGTGTCCAGTTCTGGGCTCTCCAGTATAAGACAGACATAGACATACTGGATAGAGTCCAGCAAAGGGCCACAAAGAGACTGGAACGTCTCCTTTGAGGACAGGCTGAGAGAGCTGGAACTGTTCAGCCTGGAGAAGAGAAGGCTCAGGGGGATCTCATCAATCTACAAAAATACCTGAAGGGAAGGTGCACAGAGGACAGAGCCAGGCTCTTTTCAGTGGTGCCCAGTGACAGGACCAGAGGCAATGGGCACAAACTGAAACAAAGGAGGTTCCCTCTGAACATCAGGAAACACATTTTTACTGTGAGAGTGACCGAGCCCTGGCACAGGTTGCCCAGGGAGGTTGCAGAGTCTCCAACCTTGGAGACACTCAAGTGCCATCTGGACAGAGTCCTGGACAAATGACTTGAGGTGGCCCCAGTTGAGCAGGGGGGTTGGAGTAGATCATCTCCAGAGGTCCCTTCCAACCTCAACCATTTTGTGGTTTTATATAGAAATATAATATGCATTACATATACATACATATATATTTTTAAAATTCTAATATAAAGTCTTAATATATACTGCTTTAACACACACAAACATATAAGCAAATAGTTAGGTAACAATATGACTTAAATATAGCACAACTACTTTGCTGATGGTAAGTCAACTATGGAAGAGCACACTTGCTGAGATACTGAGATTTAGAGTAACTAAAGGCACATGTGTCTTAGAATGGGGGTATTGGATAAGCATGGATCGCAGGAGTGCTGGAAAAAAGGCTGGTGAACTACACAAGGAAATCACACTGTAGCACTGATGCTCTGTAGGAGGACTAGGGAAAGCTGCTCTGTAGGGGGAATAAGGAAAACTGCTGTGTTCTAAAACTGAAAATAATCATGTAGATATTCACTTAGTTGTATGTGCAATGTTAATTCAAAAGCACAGTCTTAAAGAAACCTCAGTGCTTGCCAAACTCTAGAAAACAAAGCCATTATGTTAGCATTTACTCTGTCATCAGGTCCAGGCATCTCAAAGGCAGGACATCAGCCTGCTTAGCATAGCACAGAACAGTAAAGACAGACCAAAAAAGTGACTTGCAGAACAGAAAAAAAAAAGATAAATGTTATTCTAACTTAAAAAAAAAAAAAAAAAAAAAAAAAAAAAATCACAAATGTGAATATTAGTCTGACCCCTCATACAGTGTTGTTTAACAACTGGAAATTCAGAAAGCAGACACTTTCAGCAATGACTATGCCAGGATGCTCGGTTCAAAGCAGATTCAAAAGAAACTCAATTTTTATTGGTAGTCTTCTGGATGAGAACCAATTAAACCAAAGTTTCCTAAAACAGGGCTTTAAATATTAATCCACACAGCTAGTTATCTATGATTAATTCCCTAAAAACTGCATATCCCTATAAACTGCTGCTTTTATGACTAGATAGTAACATTTACTAGAGCAGCACACAATGACATCATCACGCTAAAGCAAATACTCCCGAACATTCAAATAATACAAAAGGGAATAAATTGGAAACAAGATTCTATTTTCTCTCTTTCAAAGAAGAAGTATGTAATGAAAACGTTATTTCAGATTTTAAGACACAGCTTGACAAATTAAATTACTTTTTTAAAAAAATAATTCTTTAAATAAAGATCATAAGAGCCTTGATCTGTATCATTCCAATCACACTACTCCCAGCTTTCCTATTAAACACTTAGTAGACTATACTAAAGAAAACTTCCAAACAGCATTTCTACAAGTTTAACTTGAAATAAACTTAATACTTTTCCACAGCTTAGAAAGCAGAATGAAATCTTTGTCTTCAGAAATAAAAGCTGAGTCAGAGTGGAAAAAACCACTATTGTTCATACTTGCTTTATCTGAGAATGCAACAGTAAATTCAGAAGTAAGTTCCTCAGACTTCTTACCTTATCACTTTTTTTCGCAGATTTCTTCTTCTTAGGATTATCCTTCCAAAGAGATTCTACAGCAATATATCCCTGAAGACTCCAGTCATACACCTGTGTACCAGCAACCTTTGGAACAAGATATTAGAAAGCATTAACTTAATAATCCATGAAATATTATTTTGCTTCTTGTTTAAGTAGAAGAAGTCTCAAGACACAGTATCTTTAGCAGCTTCCTATTCCAGCTCAGGGTGCACAGCATTAATAGATATATTGAAAAAATAAAAATGACAAATGAAGAATAAGAAAAGCCAACTTGCTAAAAACACTGTTTGAAGACTACCTGAAAACTTATCTGTATAAAAAGAGGTGGAATTATGTTGCATGGAAACCATTCTGGTTGAACAGGTTTAGTATAAGCAGAGTATTTCTTCGTTTGACCATAGTCATTTTAAATTAAAAAAACCCAAAAAACAACAAGCCACCCTACTTAGTTTGTCACTATTTTGTGACTTTACGTTTCCACTGCTTTGACAGAAGAGTAAGAGCACCCCTTTGTTTGTTTGCTGTTTAGAAGAAGGACCCAATTTGCTGACAGATGGTTGTAATGAATAACCAGCCATCAACTCCCAAAACAGAAGGCAGCGAGGAAAGACAGTGTTTGCTAAATTACACCAACAGGCAATTTTACAACGGGAAAAACCGCTAACTCCATTAAAAGTGTATCTCCTGCCCCTTACATGATACAGAACTGCAATATTCATAGCAGCCTTTAAAGCTCAAGTGCTAGGTTTTTACAGCTCCAGGCTCAGGTCAGTACTCACTTTCATATCGCTACCAGTTTTCTCACAAATAAAGAACAGCAATAACTGACAATTTGCCCAACTAGACAGCTATTAAACTCAAATACTTAAGAAATCAAGAAATAAGAAGGTATCACCCTACCTCCCCCAGCAGGCAAAGCTGGAAAACCAAAACTATGAGAACAGGATAAGCACAAATGATGTTTCTGAAACAGTTTCTGAATGAATTTAAGTTTATTCCAGCCTCCAACAATTTGCTGCTCAGAGATTTCCCGAGTCAGAGACGAACATATTATTATAAGAACATTATGATAAAGAATAAATAAAAAAAATAAAATTTATGTTCCAGAATATTTCCTGTACTGTTCTATTAATTTGGCAAATGAGCTTTGTACTGACAGCATACCTTCCTAGGCTTACAGAAATTTTTTGAAAGGCCTATGAAACATTTCAAAATAATTACTAGAGAGGATCAAGTGCTTCCAATTTCAGATTTAAGCATAAAAATTACAGATAGTAAGATCTGATATGCTTAAAACTTTGCTGCTTTAAAAGCACAAGAGAGATTAGAGGAACCAAACCAATATCTAGGATATCCCTCTCTCTACAGAAGTTTACAAATTCTTAGGTCTGATGTCCTGACCAAGTCAAAAAGCTAAACCTATTTTAACCACGTTTCAGGCTCATGGTCTCATATCAGATTTTTTATTAGAGTTAGACTAAGAACTGTGAATTAATCAAAGGGCAATCAGGCACTTCAAAGTTTTCGTAAAATAAACACAGTATTGTGAAGCTGTTAGTAGCAAATCCACAGTTAATACCAAACTGAGCTTCTTCAAAAACAGTAACATCGGTCTGAACACCATTCATCCACTTCCCACTTCACTGTTCAGAAGACAATGAGAATTTCAATACACAGTTTCCAACAGAAATGTCCAAGTTTCTTAAATAGTGATTGCTTTTTTCCTACCACTCACATAATTTTCATTCCTTGAGAGTAAGTCAACAGAACTATAAGTATTTAGAGCATCTGAATCCTGGAAGCACTAAAAAGAGTTTCCATCAAAGACCAGTCTATCACCATGCTGGCAGAATTCAAACACCACATTTTTGACTCTCCCTAAGTCAACGACCTTTCAGTTTTCAAACAACATTGTATTTTCTTCAGAATATCGTATTTTCATCCTAACATCTCAGTGTCATACACAGTCACCAGTAAGTGGATAGCAAATTACCAAAGCCTGAAATATAAAGTTTTTGACTCATTAAAATATGTCCACTGTAAGTAGTTAAAAGCTGGATTTGAAAAAGAATGTGGTGGAGAAATGAGGAATCTGCCAGTAAAATTAAGTGTGAACAGCAAGGCACATGAACTGACGTTAGTAGGGGCTGTAAGCAATTGTCTGGTCTCTTCAGTTCCTCTCTTCATAGGAAACCCACTCTAAGCAACTGCAGGTTAACATATTTCTTATGTGCCTGAAACAACAAATGCATAAACAGGAAAGGTATCCAATAAGCAGCAGAATCCTTACCCCATTCCAGAATGTGTATGCTATCTTTCTTAAAACTCTGTCCAACAAAAGGAGAAAGCTTAAATAACAATGTTTATCTCAAAATGTTTTTTGTGTTATTTCTCTATAGAAACTCCTTTTTCTTTTTTCCCCCCCCCTCTCCTTTCTTTCAAACCGTGTTTTCATTTGCTATCAAGATACTTCAGGCTTTCTTAGTATTGGAAGTAAACATGCAAACTGCACTTATTAAGCATACTTACATTAATTTATAATTACTTGAGATTAGGACTGAGAAAGGAAATTATGTTCCTCAAAGTGAAGACACTGCTGCAGATGTTAAACAGAAACTAAAAGAAACAGAATATCTGACTGTCTTTCAGCCTAGACTGCATGTTCTTTGACAAGATAACTATCATTTTGTTAAGTGCCAAGCACACTGACATGGCTTTTAAAAATGGACTACCAGTTAATTTGAAGGTAGGAGGCAATAATCAAAGTAAAAGACACTTCTCCAAAGAAAGGTAACATCACTGACCTTTGCAACAGCAACTGCTTGCTGAGGGTAATACATGGAGGCACCAATACCCATGAGACTTGCAGGATACACTAGCTTCTTTATTTTAGATCCTGTTTCACAACAAAAAAACCCAAAAAACAAGAAAACCCCCAAAACATTGTTAGAGCGTATGCTAACCAAGACAGCTGAATGGCCCTACCCTTTTATTCATAATCAAAACAATTTTATTAAATACAGTTTAGCATTTATTTTATTAAATACAGACTGAATTTTCCATTCAGTCCTACTGGTTTCTTAAGAAACATTATTACTCTGATCAGTAATTATTCTCTTAACCTTTTTAAGAGAATAGTTTTATTAATGTCTTTCCATAGTGAAAATTACTTTACAACTATATTTACTGTAGTAATAAGTAATTTATTTCAGTACTGAATAATGAAGTAAAAGCCACAGTTAAGCAAGATTTAAGAGAATTACACCAACTGATACTCTTTTCCAAGCTAAAGGGAAAAACTCAGGCAAAGAAAGGTTAGGATAGCACTCTCCATACATCAAGGAGAATAAGAGACATTCCAGTACAAAGTTACCTTGACTCACAAATATTGATTCTTCCACAACTGCTCTTACCAGTAATTTTTCTTGATTCACTATAGCAATTGAAAAAGCATTCAAAAGTACTTTTAAACTACTTACAATTGTGCTACACGCCTATTGCTCAGTCCTCAGCTAAATTTTGAACATTTTAATCAATTTAAACTCTCTATTCAATTATTGAAGTCTAAAATAATTTAACTGCCTGAAAAGTTCCTCCTCTTATCACAGCTGGCCACAGGTTGCGTATCCTGGCTGGTCAGTGACAGTACGCATCACTGAGTCGGTTAGAGGGCATGCTGCAGTTTATCTAGTTAGAAAGGAACACAGAAGGGAGCAGGTAAAGGAGAAAAGCAAGCAGTACAGGAGACAAGAAGGTCATAGAACAGACATACAGGAGTCATGACGCAGTAGTTCTGCTCCTCATAGAACAGCCTGTCCTGTACGCAAAGCCACACGTGCTTCTAAGAAAGGAATAATGAATTTTGAAGAGGAAATGCATTTTAGAAGTGCTTAGGGCTTCCACTAACATATGCTCATGATGAGATGAGAAACTCAGCAGTAAACAAGAGACATTCACAAAGTGATGTTGCTAGTCTAGCGAAGGGGGAACTTGGTACCAATTAGCTGTCAGAAAGCACAGGAAAGGCAAGCTTCATTGCCTTTTTAGAACCAGAAAAATTGCACATTTATTGTAATTTCTGGGAATGGGGAAATCTTCACTAGTGATAGTTTATCTGTGTGCCTACAATACCACTTCAGGAATAAATGTAATAGTTGAAGATACTAATGCCTTCCAGCAGGCCGCTACCTGCTGGAGACACCCATTAGAGGGAAGTTTAGGAATACTCTCGTATCCCTTCTAGTAATGCTCAACAAGGTCAGAACTATTTTTAAACAGTTATTTTAAATGAAGCTGGATGACAGCACAATATTCACATGATTAAACCCCAAATACTGCACTTTCTACTTAGTGGGCAGCTGTATCTTCAAGTGTTATGGTTAGACCTGGAAGATTTTATCTGTACCTTCCAAGTGGACAGTTTTTCCAGTAGGACCAAGGCAGGAAGGGATAAAAAAAGAGGACATTTGGTTCTAACTTTCTGTAGCGTAAGAATTAAGGGGTACTTCCTCCTACAGTTTGAATATTTTCTAGAAATAACTGTTAACTATAACCAGACAAAAAGCTTTAAAATAATGTCTCCTATCCTAAAAGAGTTACAAATCAGACATTTCCATTATGAGGGATTTTTATTGTTATTAAACTTAGGACCCTCTAATCTTTCAGATCCAGCCCCAAGACTGCACTTCCCTCTTCTCCTCCTCAATTTTGCTATAGTCATAAAGGCTGGAAGCTCATCTCATTCATAATCACATCACTCAAGAAGCAGGAATTTGAAGAGCAAGAACTTCAAATAGGTAAAGTTGGAAAACTTGATTTTCATTTTAAAAAATGCTAGAAAAGAAATAAAGAGTACTGCTTTCATCATCTTCACTGGAGAATTCTGAACAGTGTGCATCTAAGTGCATATATTCACCCAATGCTTTCCACTTCTACATAACCAAGTACACAAGTTTGTTCAACACATACAGGCCCCACAAAAGTGTATTCTTATCCAAAACAAGTCCTCACTAGTATTTAAATTCTAGAGCTTCACAGTTCCATTACATACAAGTCTCTTCTTGCATTACTTCGTTTCACTGTATTAAGAATATTTCAATACAAACACAAAACTTTTTCACAATTAAACTTTTTAAAAATAACATTTAATTTTATGAAAGCATAAACGTGTTAGCTTCTTTAACTAGTAGGATAAAATTAACTGTATCATATTTCTGTAGCACAACATGTGCATGTATTTATAGTACACCCAGAGTTCACAGGTATTTTTGCTGAATATTACCATCTGCAGCAGCTCTGTGCCTGGACACACAATACTTTGAAGGAAATGGAATATTCAACTAATTGTACATGTATCATAGTTCAGGAACCTCTGCATTTTACTGTAATCTATTCCTCTCTAGTTTTCTACAGTGACATATGTGATCAAGAACTTTTTAGGCTAAAAAAGAAAAATTCTTTCCTACTTTTGCTATCATAAGCTACAATTGGAAAAGATCAAAGACGAGATTTCAGTAACAAATACAGTATTCATAAACAATAATTGATGGTTATTACATACCTTTTACATGAAGTGTCTTTGTAATTGGAGAAACATGCTTGTACAGTTAAGTCAGATCTCATGCACCACAATTAAAAATTAGTATGCAAAAAACTACAAATAAATTATTTATCCCAAATCATAACATAAGCAGTTCAAAAGGTTCCCACTTACCTCTAGCAAGAAACAATCCAACAATTCCAGCAAAACCTATCACACCAAGCCTTGGATAAAATCCAGCAGGGGGGGTTTGGAGAAATTCATAGCCCTCTGAAAAGAAGTCAGAACAAAGTGCTTTAATGTAATGTGAAAGTGGTTTTGTGATAAGGAATCATCAATATGTGCTGGCAATTGTTACAAAACATCAAGTTATCAAAACACATTTAACTATCATGCACATTTTAGATCTGCTGGCATAAAATTCAAAGCCTTTGAGATCTTCTCTAGTGCCACATGAATGAAACTGAACATCGTATTGTATTTACCAATTTTCATAGAAGCTTTTGTCTTTGCTTCTGGGCCATCTGTTTTGTTTTGCTCTTTTGCATCTCAATTATATCTTTTTCAAATTAAAAACCTTTGCAAAATGCATTGTTACATTTACATGTTAACAAGAATTAGTTCCAGTAAAATACTGTACAAAGAAACAAATGCAGAACAAAGGAAAGACACAACACAAACAAAGCTCACTCCAAGACAGGAGTCTGATGGGGGAATGGAAAACTAAGAAAAACCTTCCACACAAACGAGTTCAAAAGCCTGAGACTGTTAAAGTTTATGGAAGAGAGGCACAGTATCTGAAATGAGCTTTAGATTGCTCAGTCCTGATGGGCCTAAGTATGAAAGGATGTCTCCAAAACAAAAATAAATACAGATTTTGGATTAAGTAAAAATTCTTAGGAGACCCACAGAAGTAAACCAAAATGAAAAGACTGAACATTGCAAACAAAAGACCTAACACTTGCAACAACAAGCATTGCAGGAAGCTTCAGTTACGAGGCTGGGTCAAGCAAATACTACCAACTGGGAATAAATTGTGAGGTTTTTTTTCCTTCTTTTCCTGCATAGCTGTAATTTTTTATTACATTGGTTGATATAGATGCAGGCCTGAGAGTTCAATTGTTTAGAAATGCAGTGTCACAATGACCTAAAAAGGAACTTTAAACAGATATACAGTGCAAATAGTCTTAAATGCATTAGAAATTATATAATATAGTGATGCTTAATGGAACTCCCTTTTACCAGAAGTCGTAGCGTTGTCTTGTATTTTAAATCACTAGTTAAGAAAACTGAAGTGATTTACCTCTACCATGCTCAACAGCTTTTTCTAATTTGGGCATAGCTTTGGCATAAAGATCCTATTAAAAAAAGAAAAGAAAACAACAGTAAACAGATATCAAGTAAGTACAATGGTAACCACAGATTGTGACTGACCTGACAAAGAAAATTTAAAAAAAAAAAGAATTATAAAATTTTTAATAAAAGGTGTTGGGTCCCTAAAATAACTTATTTTTATTCCCACTTCCACCCTTCACTTTCAGGGCTGTGCTTCCTCAACACTACATTTGGTATAACATACAGCTTTTTCTCAAAGTAGTCTTTGGACACAGGTGAAATGCAATACCTCAAAACACAGGAGTCAACTTCAATATTTAACTGAGTTCCTGATCAGGCAGCTGAAACTCAGGATGATCTGAAGTTTCTCAGTGTACACAGGTATCGCAAAGATACTCGATGCAAAGGAAGGAAGTAAAACACTGTAATAAACTCCTTCCTAGCACTTCACAGGGCCACATGACTCATTCTGCAAGGTGATAAATTCCACCTTCCAAGAGACTTATCTTAGTCTAACAAAACTGCATTTTTGAAGTGACTTGGAAAATAAGATGGCCATCCAATGTGCAAAGTAAATCAAAGAGCACTGCATCAATACCACAAACTAGTTCTAGGGTTTTTTTTTTCCTCAGACTGTAAATATGTAGGAATTAAAAGAATTCACACTGCCTTTCATCAAAGTAGAAAAAAAAAAATCTCAGTAAGAGCAACTCTACTAATTGTTATTATGCTAATAATCCTTTGGAGAGACAGTGTTAAGACTGTCTGTCAGTTAGGGAACAAATTCAGAAACATGTATGCCCAAAGCTAGAGCATAGAATGATCTTGCAATATCACTTGAGCTGTATCTGTGCAGAAGTGAAAGCATTTGTTTAGGATACTGCATGGGGGATAATATCTTTAGAATTTCATTTCCTCACTGGCAAGAGTGACTTTAAAAAAGCACATGATTGAAAAAAAAGTGTTAGCATGTGACATACAATATTTCCTCACTGGCAAGAGTGACTTTAAAAAAAGCACATCATTAAAAAAAAAAAGTGTTAGCATGTGACACACAACATAACTCTAAATGGATGTTGGTCTTACTAAAAGCCAATGAAAAAAGGCCCCAGAGACTAAGTAAGTCTGATCTTCTGTCACAGCTCACACATATCTCTCTTATTTCTACAGGTGTTTTGAATTGACTTTCCACTACAGTTAAGCAAGCAATTTTGAAAAATTAAAATGGATATACAAACATAAACCAATTCTATTCTCATTATCCTAGGTTACATTTTTAATTTTAAAGACAACTGAGACTCACTTAAAATGTTCTTTTCTTTAACATAGGTGGGGGTGGTGTAAAACCAAAACCATCTCTGACTACAGTTAAGCAAGAAAGATGACCCCAAACCCATAAAGTTTACATGCCCACTTCATTAAATGAGTCAGTAAACCACTGCCAGGAAATGGCTTGTTGTGTGTGAGCAGAAGAGCACATCTTATGTAAACGATCACCATGCAGGCAAAAAATAAAGCAGATAGGAAGAAAACAGGCCAGTGAGACATAAAGCACTGCTCAAGGCTTACCTGCAGTCAGTCCAAGTGGGCAACTAACCTTGTCTCAAATTTAATTCCCAGTTATGAGTACCACAGGGAACCAAACAGAACCCATGTGCTTAGGAAGTCAGAGCTCTAGCTATTCTCTGGAAAATTCTCCTTCAAAACTGAAGTCAGTACTCCTGCTGGTGGCACTTGAGAGATGCATCACTAGACAGAGTAACCCTGAGTATTTCTGAAAAAATGTTTCAGTACTGTTAAAGGTTAGTTAAGTTCCACAACACAGAACTTCTGGACAGAAAGGACACCCTAATCTGAACAGCTTGGCTTTCTATGGAGAACTGGAAAACCAGGCTACAGCTTAAAAAGAGGATTCACAACAGCCAGAGTGGAAAGTAGAGAATCACCTAAAGTTGCAAAGAGGCAACCAGATGACAAGGATGCCCTTGCTTCAAAAGTAACCCTCAACCTATGCTGGGTCAATAAAGAGCAAGAAAGCCATTATGACTCCAGTCTAAAATCAATAATTTAGGCCTTGATTACAAAGATCTTGGTTTTCCTCTATGCTCTAAAGACTGTTCTTCTATTTAATGATTGCTTAGTATAAACATGCTACCTAATAAAATAGAAAATAAAGTTTTGGGGTAAGACCTAGGGGCCAGGTTTGCCATTGAGAAGCAGCCTGTGATGTTCTCAGCAAATACTGATCTATTTTCTACAAAATTGCGTTGTGTCACAGTTGCAGTGAGTACAACTTGGCATCACCGCTCCAAAACACACTGCTTGATAATTTACAGCACTCTCCTTGAGCATGGAAACGCAAATTTAATCACTCTCCTGTCTTCCTCAGTCACAGGACAGTACCAAATCCAGATATCCCTAAATATCTTCATGCTTAAAGGTTACTTCGGATAACAATTCCAAGCTTTACTTAACCTGATTTTACTTATTTTAGACAGATAAAAAATGTAGAAAAGGAGGAGTTTAGTTCAGCAAATGGGTAGAAAAAAGCAGCTAGCTTTTTATGCAGACGGGATAAATACTACAACCTGAACTGTGGAAAATTTTAAGTCATGCAGCATTTTGGAAAAATGCTTGTACAGCTACTAACCTTTCCTGTGCTGCTATCTATTAATTCTGTATCTAGAAACAAATTCCCAGCTCAACCCTCACCACTGAACCACTACCAGATGTGCTATAAACCCATTATACCTGACACCAGGCTGTGTATGGCTCCATAATATGCCGCAAACGTGAAACCCCCTCTTCCAATTGGGTTTGTGGATTCTCCACATATTTAGTCTCACGAGCTGGAGAGGAGTAGAGTGACAGCTGTGAATATTAGCAAACAAGAGGTTAAAAACAAAGGTGCAATTGTGCAAGTAGGTCTTCAGGGCATGAACAGTCTAACCAGAGAACACCTAACAGGGTGCTTACTACGTAAACAATGCATAATAAAAATTCAGGCACAGCTGTGAGACAATCATTATGAGCAAAGCTTAATTATATATTATGATGAACATGACTTCTAATTGCTATGCAATTCATCCATAGCTGCTATATGATCCAAGTCACAGGTTATAAATTAATATTAAACTAGTTTAATAAGAACACAAAACATTATTGTGAAAAATGTTTCTGGTCTTAATCAGCACTTCTGGTTCCCAGTTAACACGGCAAATGTACTAGAACTCTGAAATCACAATCAATCATTTTCTGTATTTGCACAAGCCATCATTAAGGAGTCTAAGCCGCCTCTAACAGAGGTCACATCCAACACAAATATGTCTGTTTGCTACTGAGCAGGAAAATGGTACCACATCCCAGTGTTGCCGTCATTAACCACACCAGCAGCTGACAGCATTCACAGCACCGTGAGGCTGTGCAAATAGGAACTGTAACATCCACCTGAAGAGTAATGGGCATCTTCACCTAGTAAATACTAAACCACCACATTTAGGGTTTAACATCACAATGTATTTATTACAATTACCTAAACATATTTAAAATTTTATTCCCTTAAAAAAAAAAAAAAAGACCAGTCTATACTGCTGAAGATAAATAGCAATGTTGAGATCAAACAAAACCTTTTAAAATTTCTAGCATTTATACACTACACTGTTGTTTAGTATAAAAAGCTTATATTTTATATACCACATTTATACTACATTTAGTATTTATCATAAACTGATGTTTACATGTATTGTTGCACCATAGTGTAGCGAGCCCTCTTTTCAAGATAAGCTGGAAAACAACTGTATCTTTATCACAATAATAAAAGCTGCTAACCATAACAAAACATATAATGACATAGACTTTGTCAAATAATTTGATAACTTGTGCAGCTGGATTTCCCATAATACTTTGAAAGACAAGCATTTTAAGTCTCATTTCCCTAGGAAATTCAGTCATCTCTGGGAATCATGATCACAATCAGTTTAACTTTGACCTTGTTGGACAAGCTAAAGCCATGTAAGGCACAGGGACATAAGCCTCAGCGATACGGCAATTCCCATACATTTTATAAAACTAGGCAGCTGACAGAGCAGAGATCCAAGCTAACATGCTCTGTGAATCCCAAGGAAGGCAGCCAGAACTCCACACATTTGGTGAAGCTGATGGGCAAGCCAATTATTCAGCACATATGTAACTCCAAACTGCTGCCTCCTTCCTGACTCGTGCCAGCGGCGGTGGAGGGCATGCGACAGCCCGAGCTACGGTTTCTTCACCGGGGTGAAGCCAGGAGACGGCTTCAACTACTGATCCTCTCCTGTTATGCAAGTGAACTGCCCCTGCAGACACATCCAAAAGCCTTAAGTATGCACAAAAACAAGACTTTCCGTTAGTTTCACTGCTCGTGTAACAACACTTCAGCTTGCACTGAAGCACTCAATGTTTAAACAACTGCAAACTCTCATGGATATAAAGCTGCATTTAGTGATGAACTACAATTTTTTGTTTGTTTTTAATGCTGGAGACTGTTAAAAGCCTACACAACAATGCTGGTGAGTCTACAGTTTTGACAGGCAGGGTGTTTTCAAGCTCTACGTGTGATATAATCAAGACATTTGTAACACCTCAGAGAAACAATAAAGTAACAGGTTTTTATTATCACTACTTATTGTATTGGTTGTTCCTTAGGTCTGAACACTGTAAAGAAAGGAAAACTGATACAACTCTGTAAGCTACAATATCACACTCAAAGCATTGCCAGACAAGAATCTTGCCTGTAAAAAAACAATTACTGTATTTTTTAGAAATAAATTTTTTTATTTTCTGTTTTACTGGAGAACACAAATGAAATTGTATTAGAATTTGCCAACAGTACTTGTAACAAAAAACACACATTGTTACCTGGATAAAAAGCGAAGAAAATCTTCTTGTGTATTTGAAATATAACCACAAGTAAACGTGAAAAGGCAATTTCTGAATGAAGAACAGAAGGCTTTAATGTAGGAAAAAGACCTTGCCAACAAGCAAGCCAGACACTATCAAGCAGAGGGCATCAAATGCAACCCTCAGGTAAAAGAACCAAAATCATATCAACATCTCTCTTACTGAAAACAGAGAAGCAAGTTTAAAGGCAAGAATACAGAACATCTTCCAGAATTCTGTAGATAATTTCACATAGACAGAAGAGCACTAGGGCTCTAACCATATTTACCTCCTCAATTTTCAGCAACTCCTTTTTGGAAGTCTCCTTCTCTGAAGAAGCAGCATAAACCTGGATGGAGAGCAAGCTCAGGCTAACAGGGGTGGCCCCCAGACGAATTACCTAGAAACATTACAGGAAGAGATGTAAATCATTAAGTTCATACAAAATGTCACCATGTTTGAACACATCCACATAGACAATGCATGTGTCCCCATATACATTCTTAAGTTATATATTAAGATGCTTAGAAGTTAGGACAAAGGGGAGTCAATGGTACAATCTAAAGCTCTCAGGTACTCAAATGGCAACATTTAATTATTCAGATGGTATTTAGAAAAGTCTATTGCTAAAGCAGACAGTAGATGTAAATGTCAATCTCATCAGTTTTCACCTCAGAAAATGATCTTCTGTTTTCTCTCACTTGAAGCATAATTTTGTCAACTCTCCTAGTATAGATATTCACAACATTACATTCATATTTTAAATAACTTTGTGAACACCCATAACATCCTCCATTTTTCCACAGTTAGTACCAAAAAGTTCAGCATTTTATTTCTAGTTATTGTCTGCATTTAGACTTAGGAAAAAAATGCAATCTACAGTAGAAAGTATCAGAACACAAAACATAACCCCTGCTTTCTAAGAACTTTAGAAAGGTCTCCTATTTTCCTGTGAGAAACATGAACTACAGTATATTGTGGCAGATACTTTACTAGTTTTGAATACTTCAGATTCAACCCAGCTGTACGACACAACCACCATGAGTAAAGTGGACATAATTCTTCCTATATTCAGGACCTACACTAAATTGTATTTCTTAACAGGAAAGACTGCTTTAACTTAAAAAACAGAAGATAAAAATCTTAGCTGTGTAGTGAACCAAGAACACACAGAAAGCATTTTCCAACAAATGTACATTCTCACTAATGACAACATTTAACCCAAGAAACGGCAGTTCCAGTGGGGAACCTTTCAGTGTCTCCCATCCACGTCACTACATGTGCAGAGGTACAACTGCCTCTGTTTTGTTATGAGCAAATCTAACAGCCCGAGGCCACCAGGATGGAGAGGTCGGCTCTGCTCATGGCATCTGTTCCCAGAGGTCCTGCTGCTCACCTTGCCCTAGTGTTGGTGGCCGGATGCTTCCACCACGAGGCATTTCACCTCATTAATTTGGCAAAAGATTAATCCTGAAAAAGAAGTGGAGAGCTTTGTGCAGGGTTAGTAAATGGAACCTACCCATGAAACAGTCTGACAAGCACCAGAGGAACTGTGTGGCCAGGGAAAAGGGGATGAAAAAGGAGAAGGCAGCAAGGCCTCTTCCTTTTCAGATACAGTAAAGGTACATTACACTGACCTAGCTGCTTGTGAAGCTGAAGCCTTGGTCACACCAATACATCCTTCCTGCTGTTATGATGATAACTCACCAAGCCACAGAACAATTGCTCTGAAATTTTGTTTCTGTCCATTGCAGAACTGTTATGAGATAGCATTAAAATGATCCAGACCACATGCTCATTGTATACAGATTAGCATTTGCAGTTTGAATTTATTCCACTGCTTTGCAGATGGAATGTTTATCAAATGTAACCAAGAGACTCTTCAGACTCAAAACTAGACTATATAGTTCTCAAAATTCCTGAAAATGTTCATTTACATGTAGAGAAACAGCACACAAGAACTAGGTCATAGGATTGCTTTTCAGAAAGACATAAGGGATCTGATGAATCAAAAGGTATGGAAAAACTTGCTTAAACTGGAAGTTTTTCCTTATCTGTACTTATGGACTCATTATTACAGCACTATATATATATATATATGATGAAACACCACAATGACTGGATCAGCTCTGCTTCACAGCCAAGGAAAGACATGAATAATCTTTAATAATGTTTACGTAAACAAAGACTTTCCACACACTTTCATCAGCCAAGATAAAAACATGAACGCCACTAACCATTAACAACTGCAGAATATATTTTCTCTTTCTTTCCTTTTTTCACTGCAAAACTGTTCTGTCACTGAAAAGGCAAAAATCTGAAATGCATTTTCATTCTGAAAAATATGCTTTCAGTAAAATATTCCTGCCTGTGACTTTCTGAATGCTTAAGAATGAAACATATAGCTGGAGAAGCCATCAAGACATTCTCTACTCCATTCACTTTCCTCAAAGCAGTTCAAATTTAAACTGCAGCTACCAGTTACCTGAGCAGCCACATTCAAGGCAAATATTTCATGTGAGCCTAAATTTCAAACACGTCTAAAACTACAAACAGCTTTGGTAGAGCAACTACTAAATTAATGGCATATACTATGCTCAAAAGAGGTTAGCAGTGGGGTAGGCTTTTGAAATAAGCCTCAAAAAACACAACTTCAGAGAGAGCCACACAAGAGACAAGTATCTAAAAATTAATTTCAGAATGTGGCAAAAGTTTGTTATATGAATATACATGCACAGATTTACATCTTCTATTTAACATACCTACAAGTGTCCATTGCAGTAAAAAAAACAAACAAAAACAAACCAACAAAACCCATACCCAACAGCAGCATAAAAAAAATACTTTAATTAGAAGTATAATTCATTATTGATAAACAGCAGGTGTGTTTTTTGCTGCTATTCAATACCATTTGCATTGTTTGAAAATTATTTAAATGTCACCAGTATAAACAGAAAATCAAATGCTTTAAATATTTGAGATTTGTACATAAAGACACACACAAACGGGAGCATAAGAATGGAACCACCTTGGTTTCACAAATATCAGCGACGACAGAACTACTCATAGTGAAAACATCGTATTATCAATAATACTGAAGCACAAGCATTGTAACAAAGGTTTCATAGTTGCAATTTTAACAAAACAAAGTTAACCACTAAAAGTGCAAGAAGCAGCTCTCCTTAAATGCACTGTTCAAGCTATACTGCAACCGTCTCCTACATCACCTAAGTTTATGGGACATATACAGCTGGTACTAAAGTACCGTATAGACACACACACACATCCCAAGGAGTTTATTCGGTAGTGTGAAAGAGTAACCATTCCACTTTCTGCTTCCAAAATTCACTGTAGGATCTGCTGAAGGGGCTGGAGCACAAGTCTTATGAGGAGCGGCTGAGGGAGCTGGGGTTGTTTAGCCTGGAGAAAAGGAGGCTGAGGGGAGACCTTATCGCTCTCTACAACTACCTGAAAGGAGGTTGAAGGGAAGTGGGCGTTGGTCCCTTCTCCCAGGTAAAAAGTGGTAGAACAAGAGGAAATGGACTCAAGTTGTTCCAGGGGAGGCAGATTGGATATTAGGAAAAATTTATTCACTGAAAGGGTTATCAAGCATTGGAACAGGCTGCCCAGGAGGGGGTGGAGTCACCTTCCCTGGAAATATTTAAAAGACAGGTAGATGAGGTGCTTAGGGACATGGTTTAGTGGTGGAGTTGATCAGTGTTAGGTTTATGGTTGGACTCAATGATCCTAAAGGTCTTTTGCAACCTAAACAATTTTATTATTCTATTCTATAATCTAACTTCTTAATTTCATATTAGCCACGTATAACTGAACCAACTGGTTTAATAAAACGTTTTGATTGAGCTGTGCCTTCAGTCTGCTTGTCTTACAGCTATTCAGTTGATACCAAAAAAGTAGAGCTGACATTCTACTCTCTAGGCAATGCTCTGCATTAAAAAAACCCCCAACATATTAAGTTTATTAATTTCTCTAGCTGAAGAGCTCAACTTTATCTATAGATACTAAATAACTCTTAAGTAAATTCCATCTGAAAGTTGGAAGGAAAAAGACTATCACATTTCATCTTCCATCGTCTTGCTTTACTGCCCTTCTCAAATTCTTAGTTAAGAAATGCCTCTGGAAGAATGAATCCCATATTAGTTCTCAATACAGAAGGGAAAAAAGAACTAAAGATTAACTAGAAATTTTGTATTTTTCCCCCACCCCCTTCTCTGTGGTTTCTCAGTTCACTGGTTACTGTTATTGTGATCCTGTCAAAACTGGAGAAAGGAAGAATAAAAGGTAAAAAAACCTTAATCTTACTTTTGTGAAGGCTGATATTTGCCCTAACATATGAAGCTGCTTAGTTTTTCTCTTCTTTTTACATTCTTCCTCCCATCTTTCAACCCCAACTAAAAAAAAAACAAAACAAAACCCCAAAAAACAAACGCAAGCACTCTTGTTTCCTGATATCAAGGACAAGAAGCCACCTTCCCCTTTTGCTCTTAGGGGCAAAGAATTAGGCTGGCCTGAAGCACTGGAATCTGCCTAACCTCAATGCTTGTATAAAAGCAGTATTATTATGCACAGTACGTAAACCCACAGGTTCACATATGATTCTTTAATGATAATTCAATATCACTTACAGAGCTCTCAACAATTCTGAGACAAAATCCTTACATAAGAGTTCCAGCAGTTGTCCCAACATTATTTATTTGAAGTTGCAACAAGAGTGCAGCAAGCTTAGGCTGCTCAGCATATCAATATATCGATATATATTGACACATTATCAACATCTGACAAACAAAAAAGATAAAAAAGAGAATGCATTTCAAGAATCAAGTGTCACCAGTTTTTAAAACTCCAGCTTCTCGAGTAGTCATGACAACAATTTTCTGGAAACATGCAACTTGCTTTCAGCCTGAAGGGATCTGGGGCTCTTCATATCGGAGGCAAAGGCCTTTGAGACAATTCTCCGACGGAATACGTACAGATTTTGCTGACAACTTACTTGCAGTGAAGGGAGACTTTGGAGATGAGGACAGTCACAACTGTAGGAACCCAAACACTGCAATAACACTAACTCACAGCTCCATGCTGCTGTATTTAGGAAGAAACTGTAATTTTGAAATTATCTGCCCTGAAATTTAAAAAATTTCAAAAATTTCAAAATTTTTGAAATTTTGAGGACTGGAGCACCTCTCCTGTGAGGACAGGCTGAGAGAGTTGGGCTTTTCAGCCTGGAGAAGAGAAGGCTTAAGGGAAATCTTATGGCAGCCTTCCAATACTTGAAGGGGCCTACAAGGAAGCTGGGGA